ATAACTATAAATGGCAAAACTCAGCATAAGGAGTAGTTGACTTGCTGTTCTTAGATTTCCTTGGGTGGCTGCCAGTGACATCAGAGTGTGTTGTTAACATTAGCACCGCTATAAGGATTAAATGAGATATCCTTGTAAAGGCACAGCATAATGCCTAGCATGTAATAAATATATAGTAATTGCTGTTTTTTTTTTTTATTTTTTTAAATTGAGCAGTGGGAAGAGAGAGAGTGAGCAAGCAAGTATGAGAGTGAGTTTATTCCTGGTATGGTTTACTCCTCCAGTGTCCACAATGAATGGGACTGAGTCAGGCTTTAGCTGGGACCTGGGAACACAATCCAGGTTTCCCATGTGGTCAACTCTTGTTGTCACTTGAGCCATCACTGATGCCTCACAAGGGCCACATTAGCAGGAAGCTGGAGTCAGGAGCTGTCGCTGGACATGGAATCCAGGTTCTCTGATACGGGACAGGAATCTTAACCACGAGGCTGAGTGCCTGTCCCACTGCTGGCAGTTGTATTCAAGATTGTCATCATCACATATTTATTGAGCACATGTTTGTGTCAAGCATTTGATGTGTATGATCTGCTTTAATCTTCACAACACCTATGAAGTGGAAATGGTGATAATCCTCATTTCACGGATGTGAAAATTGGCGGTTAGGAATGATAAGTGGCTTTTTCAAGACCATAAAACTACTAAGGAGTGGAGCCAAAACCTGAACCCTGCTTGATCCTAATGTACCTTCTTAAGTCCTTATTTTCTTGATTCCTATATTATTGGCACATTATTGAAAATTGCATTTTAAAAAGCAACATTTAGTAATGGAGATGTATCTGTTGCAGATTTAGACTAGTGCTTTGTTAAAAAGTGAGTTTGTATTGGTTCTCTTAGCAGTATTTCTTGGGTGCTTATTGTGTAAAAAAGCCCTCTACTGGGAGACATGGTTAGAGGAAAATGAAATGAGGTTCATGATCTCTGTGAAATAGGACTGAAGCACGCTTATGAAACACTATGTTGAATGTGAACCTGGTGTAGGCTGCACACATGTGAACTTTGGAGAGAAGACAGAGTAGGTGGTTCTTCCATGTTTACCTGACTCAGGAGGCAGCTGCCTGGGTTCAGACCTCAAGCTTTGCCCCTCTCTGCAGTATGGACTGGATTAAGTTCCTCTAGTTTTTGAGCCTTAGTGTTCTCATGTGTAAAAAGGAAAAAATGATGGGAACCTCTCAAAAGTTCTGTGAGGGGCCTAGCCTCGTTTCTGGTAGAGATATATGTTGAATCAACATCAGTTCTTAAACATATGCTAGTATAGGGTAATGTCAGTGTGCTTAACCACAGACTCATACAAATAGCTTGACTTTGAGGTTGGCCTTTGCCAGTTTTCTTCTAGATTCCTTGCACCTTCACCCCACGTGAATTTTTGCTCGTCTGGCAAATGCACACAAGGAAATCACATGTAGCTGCCTCCATGAGATACTCAGAAAGTAACCTTTGAGGAAAACCAACACTTCCAAGAAAAATAGAAGACATGAAGTTCAAAAAGAAAAAGGCAGTTGCTCATCCTGAAGTCGTAAACATCCAGCACCCAGCTTTTCTTAATACCAGATGCGGGGCCAGTGCTGTAGCTTAGCGGTTGGGGCTGCCGCCTGCAGTGCTGGCGTCCTGTGTGGGTGCTGGTTTGGGTCCCGGCTGTTTCGCCTCCATTCTGGCTCTCTGCTGTGGCCTAGGAGGGCAGTGGGGGGGTGGTCCGGGTTCTTGGGCCCCTGCACCCACGTGGGAGACCCGGAAGAAGCTCCTGGCTCCGGATCAGCACAGCCCTTGCGGCCGTCTAGGAAGTGGGCCAATGGATGGAGGACCTTTCTCTCCCCACCCCCCGCCCCTGCAACTCTGTCTTTGAAATAAAAATAAATAAATCTTAAAAAAACAAAGCAAAAACCAGAGGAGCATCTACTCTGCAGTCCCAGAATGCCTGGGGCAGCACTGAGGGTCAGGTGCTGCACTTTCATCCTAGAAATGGCCTATCTCATGTTTTTCTACCATTGACTAAACTTTGGGTCAGCATGCACTTCATTTCATCACTTTTCCAGAAGATTTTTCTAAGTTTATTGAGAGACAGATAGACAGACACAGACACCCACATCACACCCACACACAGAGCTAGTGAGTATGAACAGGCTCCCATCTGCTGGTTCTCTCTTCACATGCCTGTAACGGCCATAGTTGGGACTGAAGCCAGGAACCAAGAACTCAACCTAGGTCTCCCATGCTGGTAGTATGAACCCAGTCCTGTGAGCCATCACCTGCTGCCTCCCAGGATCTGTGTTAGCAGGATTTAGATATAAACTCAGGCACTCCAATATGGGACACAGGTATCCTAACTGGTATCTTAACTGCTACGCCAAATGCCCACCCTGATTAAACTTTTTAAATGGTTAGTGCATTTTATTCTTAAAAGGCTTTTTTCTTAATCCTATAAACCATACAGTTGCTTTGGCAGGACATATGATGGAAGTGGAAACATGGCATGATGCAATGATATCCCCTTGTTGCAAGTTGATGTGACAGAGAAAGGGGAAGAGAGGGGAGGTGGTAATTTCTGGGTTGCTCAAGGGCCAGATTCCGAGGTGACTGCAGTAGACACTGTCAAGTGTTCACAGGTGGTGACACAGGCCCCCCCCCTTTTAAGATTGACTATTTTATTTATTTGAAAGAGTTACAGAGAAAGATAGAGACAGAGAGAAAAGTCTTCCATCTGCTGGTTCACTCCCCAAACGGCCACAATGGCTGGAGCTGCGCTGATCTGAAGTCAGGAACCAGGAGCTTCTTCTGGGTCTCCCACGTGAGTGCAGAGGCCCAAGGACTTGGGCCGTCTTCTGCTGCTATCCCAGGATATAGCAGAGAGCGGGATCAGAAGAGGAGCAGCCGGGACTAGAACAGGTGCCCATATGGGATGCAGGCGCTCGAGGCCAGGGCTTTAACCCGCTGTGCCACAGCGCTGACACAGGCCCTTTTTATAGTTGGGTAGACTTGAGATTCTGCTGAAAGAGAAACAGCATGGAGAATTAAAGAAAAAAATTTTAGCTCTAATGGAAACAGTATTCCCAGTTGTATTCTCCATCTTTAAATAAGTGATTGTACTCTCAAACTGTGGCACATCTAAGCCAGTGTATATGTAGAGGGGAACATCCCTTATCCCCGTGACAGAAGTACAGATTTGAGGGTTAGGGAGCTCAAGGTGTTTTTTTTTTTTTATTTTAATAACATTGAATATGATGTATAGGTCTAAGAACATAATGAGGCCGGCGCCACGACTCACTAGGCTAATCCTCCGCCTTGCGGCGCCGGCACACCGGGTTCTAGTCCCGGTCAGGGCGCTGGATTCTATCCCGGTTGCCCCTCTTCCAGGCCAGCTCTCTGCTGTGGCCCAGGAGTGCAGTGGAGGATGGCCCAAGTGCTTGGGCCCTGCACCCCATGGGAGACCAGGATAAGTACCTGGCTCCTGGCTTTGGATCAGTGCGGTACGCTGGCTGTAGCGGCCATTTGGGGGTGAACCAACGGCAAAGGAAGACCTTTCTCTCTGTGTCTCAATGTCCACTCTGCCTGTCAAAAAAAAAAAAAAAAAAAATGAGATTCCCTTCCTCCGAGAGCTCAAGTTTTATTTCTCCTATTTTCTGTGCAACTTGGAGAACTACAATCCGCTTTTTAAGAAGTGATGAATCATCCCCTTGAAGGAAACATGTACATGGAGTTGTATTTCTGTTGCATTTCAGATAAGATCCCACTGTGAGGTGTTTTGCAAGACTTCTGTTGGTTAATTGTGGCAGTGCTGACATGACCTGGTTTGGGCACTGAGGGTCTGCTGCTGGTCTGAGGTCTCTCTTTGCTTTGCTGCTCCCTGTATGTTTGCTTCCACTGCAGAAGGAGCCATGGTGCCTTTGAAGGGGGAGCTAAGGTTGCTTTTGATACTCATGGAGCCGGCACCGTGGCTCACTAGGCTAATCCTCCGCCTTGCTGCGGCAGCACGCCGGGTTCTAGTCCCAGTTGGGGCGCTGGATTCTGTCCTGGTTGCCCCTCTTCCAGTCCAGCTCTCTGCTGTGGCCAGGGAGTGCAGAGGAGGATGGCCCAAGTGCTTGGGCCCTATACCCCATGGGAGACCAGGAGAAGCACCTGGCTCCTGCCATCGGATCAGCGCGGTGTGCCAGCCGCAGCAGCCATTGGAGGGTGAACCAACGACAAAAGGAAGACCTTTCTCTTCTCTCTGTCTCTCTCTCTGTCCACTCTGTCAAAAAAAAAAAAAAAGCTTTACGATACTCATGGAGCAATGTCTTGTGGTGTTGCCTGTATGGACAGAAAGGGCTTCTGGAAGTATTTTATGATACCCACCTTGTACAGTCAGGAATCTTAGGAATGTGTAGATATGCACCATGACTCAGACCTCTGCCTCCTAATACCTGTGGGAATCACCTAGTGAGAGCCCTTCCACCCAGGTGTATGTCCAGGGGAGGCTGGGGCTGGCTCTTCAGATGGTCACTGCTTGATCTCTCCATCTCTGTCGTCTTTGTTTCTCTCTCTCTTCTTTGTTTTCCACTCTTTAGGTTTATTCTCACCTTCTTTCCCTCCTTTCTTGTTCCTCCTCTCTCTAGCCTCACTCTCTTCTGGTGTCACTTTTTGTGGCTGTGGGAAAAGCCTGATGAGGTTTTCTGGCCCTCCCTCTGGCTAGTCTTCCTGGGTTTTCCTGGCTCTTCTTGGCTCTGGCCTGAATCCTGCCATCCAAGGTGGGCGGGGTGTTCCTCTGAGGAAGCAGTACCTCTGCTCTGTTGGGATTAGTTTTTCTGATTATGGAGCAGGCACGCAGTGGGCAGCTGGAGCCTTTCAGGATTCCTCTGCTTCCTCAAGCCAGAAGGTGGTTGGCTTTCAGCAGGGAGCTCTGCTAAGTGTTCTCTGCCGTGGACATGTTCTTCCTCTGGTGATGAAGCTCATTCTTCTTCTGGTTATAGATTGAAGAAACTCGGCTCAACATTGACAAGATCTCAGAGCACGTGGAGGAGGCCAAGAAACTCTACAGTATCATTCTTTCTGCACCAATTCCAGAGCCAAGTGAGTGTGTACTCAACGCCCAGTCACCTAGAAGTGGCCCTTTGTGTTGGGGTAGAGCCAGGCTTGTTTCCCTCCTCTCTTTCTGTGAACAGCTGGGGAATGTACACATCACACTGCACCAATGTACACATCATCCTTCTGTTTCCTTTAGCTTCTCTGGGCTTCCAGGATCCAGCTGCAGTCAGCTCTTTTCATGGCCACACTAAGAGGCAGGTCTTCCTCTTGTCTCAGCTAGTCCCTCATGTGACTAGCAATGATCTCGCTGCTTCTCACATGCCCGTGCTCTGTCTCACCTCTGCACCTCGGCTTGCACTATTTCTCCTGCTTGAGATACATTCCCAACTCCCTTTCTCAGTCCTGCCAGGTCAAGTGTATTTTTTCCTCATGAGGTATTCCAGCATGGTTCACGTTCACAAGAATCCTTCCCATCCCTGAACTCCTGTTTGTTACCACCGTTGAGGACAACATCTCTCTCCTCCTAGTTTTTAAGTGTTTTTACAGTAGGGTTTAGGGTTATATTTTTGGTTCCTTAATTTGAATTCACACTTTCCCTTTTCTAAGTGGCTCTCTAGAACCTGAATATTAAAGTTGAACTGTTCTAGCAGAGCATATCCAAACTGTCCTGGTCATGTCCGTGGCTTCCTCCCCACCCTTTTCTTCTGCCACTTCCCCCTCATGATTCTTGCATTTTAGTCAGACTAAGCTCTGACTGTTTCCCAAATGCTTCCTTTTCCCTCTTACCTTTTATGTATTATTCCTTCTCGTTGACATTCCCACTCTGAGTCTCCTTCTCCACGTAGTCAACTCTCTGTCCTCCACTGAGGCCAGCCCTACTCTCTCCACCTTTAGAAGTTTTCCCAGCCCGTGGAAGCCATGCTAAAGAGCCCTTCCTACTACCTTGTGCACACCTTGACCAGAAATCACACTCTACTCCACAGCACATACTAGGATTGCTGACTTATTTCTCCATTGTGCTCTACTGGACTCTGAGCACCTTGTAGGCAGGTTTTGTATCTTCTGGATATGTTCCAAGCTTGTAGTAGGTGCTTAAGGATTTTTAAAATACATTTATTTGAAAAGCAGGGAGGCAGAGAGAGAGATGTCTTCCATCTGCTCATTTCCTCCCCAAATGCCTGTGATGGCTAGGGGAGGGCCAGGCTGAAGTCAGTAGCTGGGAACCCTGGATCTCCCCTCTGAGAATTTGGGACCCAACCACTTAAGCCATAATCTGTTGCCTCTGAATGCAGTGGCAGGAATCTGGAATTGGGAGTGGAGCTGGTGGTCAAACCTAGGCACTCAGTTAAGGATTGTGGGCCTCCTAAGCAGTGTCTTCACCACTATGCCAATTGCCTACCCCTGAAAGATGGTTTCTAAATCAGTGCTCTTAGTTGTTACCATCAAAGAGCAGTTCGGGGGCCGGCGCCGCGGCTCACTAGGCTAATCCTCCACCTTGCAGCGCCAGCACACCGGGTTCTAGTCCCGGTCGGGGCACCAGATTCTGTCCCGGTTGCCCCTCTTCCAGCCAGCTCTCTGCTGTGGCCAGGGAGTGCAGTGGAGGATGGCCCAAGTCCTTGGGCCCTGCACCCCATGGGAGACCAGGAGAAGTACCTGGCTCCTGCCATCGGATCAGCGTGATGCGCCGGCCACAGCGCGCTGGCCGTGGTGGCCATTGGAGGGTGAACCAACGGCAAAGGAAGACTTTTTCTCTGTGTCTCTCTCTCTCTCTCTCTCTCTCACTGTCCACTCTGCCTGTCAAAAAAAAAAAAAAAAATTAAAAAAAAAAAAGAGCAGTTCGGGGCATGAATTAGATATATCGTAAATATTTGGTTCATTCTAAGTTGATGAGACTTGGTGAAATCTCTTCCCTAGAAGTCTCATAAAGCTGTCTCACACCTTCTGAGATAGTCTTCATGGTAAGCCAAATTATTTTCTGTAAAAGCAAGATTCTCAGGTTTTTGTGTGCTGGAGAATTTCTTGGGAAAGTTTGTTAAGAAGGAAGATTCTCGTCCCCCTACCTGGTGTGTTTTTATTCTGCAGGTCTTGGACAGAGTGCCTAGGAAATGCCTTTTAAAAATAAGCTCTCTGTGATTCTAATGACAAATCGTGGGGAGCATACTGGGATCAGTTCTGCTGTGGGTAACAAGTGCCCATCAAACTGCCCCACAGCCTCTGTTGATCAATGTACCTCACAAAGCGGTTAGTCCTTTCCTTTCTAACTGATTCTGCCTGCCTTTGTACCTAGAAACCAAGGATGACCTAGAGCAGCTCACAACTGAGATCAAGAAAAGAGCCAACAACGTCCGGAACAAGCTGAAGAGTAAGCAAGGGGAAAGAGGAACCGGCCAGCCCCTAACACCATCTGTCTCCGCTCCCCAGAGTCCAGCTCTGCTGAACTGAAACTCATCTTGGTGGGAAGGACACCACTTGTCCATCTTTGCTTATGGGTTGGGCTTTATCCCTGCGGTGACCTATTGTAGCCCCAGAAATTTACTGCTTCTTGAATCTTGACTGTAGTTAAGAGTCCAGAATTGAAGTTAGTCAATGAGAATAAAAATGTGCTCTCAGCTACTGAGTAGTTGTGCATCCTGGTCCTCTAGTTTAGTCCCTCAACTTTCTTTACTGTCTGCACTTCCCAGTGCCTACATAAGTTGGAACAGTAGTGTTTCTAAAGGTATTGTCCTCCCATTGCCACTCCCACCACATTAGAGCATAGTTCATGAATTCACTTTTCCCAGGGGCCCAAAAGTTTACATAGTTCCACTCCATGGTTACAGTCTTCATTCTTGCCCAATATATTTGTTAATGTATACTGTTGGAACACAACTTACCATTTATTCTCCCAAACTATTTTTTAAAAGATTTATTTATTTATTTGAAAGGCGGGGGGGGGGGGGGGGGAGGGAGAGAGAGAGAGAGAGAGAGGACTCCCATCCACTGGTTCACTCCCCAAATGGCCACAATGGCCGGAACTGGGCTGATCTGAAGCCAGGAGCCAGAAGCTTCTTCCAGGTCTCCCATGCAGGTGCAGGGCCCCAAGAATCTTCTACTGCTTTCTCAGGCCATGGCAGAGAGCTAGATTGGAAGTAGAGCTTCTGGGTCTCAAACTGGCTCCCATATGGGATGCTGGCAATGCAGGCAGCAGCTTTACCTGCTAAGCCACAATGCCAGCCCCCCAAAACTGTTTTCATTGGGGTGGGGGTGCCGTTGCAGCTTCTAATAATAACAATGATAGTGTGCCTGCCATTATTAAGCACTCCATGTTCAACTCATTTAATGTTCACATCAGATCTGGAGGGAGATGCTGCCGTTTTTTCTGTTTCTCAGGTGAGGGGACAGGAACATTAAGAGAGGTTATGTGGTTTTCTTATAGCCATGCAGCTAGTAAGTGGCAGCATATATGAGCCCGACCCTAATGGTGACCAAGATCTATACTGTTAACTATTATGGTGAGACCTGGTAATAGTAAAGGGTGCAGACTCCAACTGCTGGGGCTTACATTTGAACTGACTTTTTGAGACGACTTCTGCCAATTTTTACACCTGCTATGTGAGAGTGACCCAGGAGATTTACATTGAAAAGAGTGTTTCTTGGAAGGAAGAGCAGATGTGTTGCTGGAAAAACTTTCCTTTCCTTTCCAGGCATGGAGAGGCACATTGAAGAAGATGAGGTCCGGTCATCTGCAGACCTTCGGATTAGGAAATCTCAGGTAAGGTCTCTCTAGGTCTGACAATCATCTAGTCCAGTATTGTGTGGAAGAAGTGAGAGGCTAGTAGTTAGGGTTTTTTTTTTTTTTTTCCATTTTATTTTTTAAAGATTTATTTATGTATTTGAAAGACAGAGTTGCAGAGGTAGAAAGGCGGAGAGGTAGAGAGAGAGGGAGAAAGGTCTTCCATCTGCTGGCTCACTCACCAGTTGACTGCAATGGCTGGAGCTGTGCCGATCCGAAGCCAGGAGCCAGGAGCTTCTTTTGGGTCTCCCATGTGGGTGCAGGGGCCCAAGGACTTGGGCCATTCTCTACTGCCTTCCCAGGCCATAGCAGAGAGCTGGATCAGCAGTGGAGCAGCCAGGACTCAAACTGGTGCTGGGATGCTGGCACTGCAGGTGGTGGCCTTACCTGCTATGCCACAACACCAGCCCCAGTTAGGGTATTTTTTTTTGTTTGTTTTTGGCCGTGATTTTGATCTGAATCCATGGCAGTACTAAATTTTTAAAAAAGCATAAAAATCTGCTTGATTTTGCAGAGAAGAAACTAGTAGGGCTCAGTGCTGAAACATGGGCAAAGCATATAAAAATTATGAAGGTTTGTGCTTAGGCATCCAGAGCTGTTGAGCTGATGCATCCACTTATAAGCAAGAAAAGTTGAGATCAGTTAGGGTAAGAACGCAAGGATCTTTGTAAGTGTTCCATATGGGAAGGAAGAGTGGCAGCTTTGGATGGCAAGACAAGAGGCTGAAGGGCTTTGAGCATTCTAGAGATTGTCTCCTTTGGTCACACCATTACCCTGTGGTGCTGAAACCCTGCTTTGGAGAAGGCAGTAGACTCTCGCAACGGCACAGAACTAGGAAACAAAGAGCTGGCTCTTAGTCCTGGTCTTTTGATTCCAGGTCCATGCTGCTGTGTGTGTGTTGGGGGGAGCTCTCCAATAGTCATAGACTCCTCCCCTCCCCCACCTCCTGGGGGCTTACTCTATCGTAACGTTACTCCTGCAGCACTCTGTCCTCTCCCGGAAGTTTGTGGAGGTGATGACCAAATACAACGAAGCTCAGGTGGACTTCCGTGAACGCAGCAAAGGGAGAATCCAGCGGCAGCTTGAAATCAGTATGTATTTGAAGTTTGGTCTGTGCTCCTCCACCTTTTCCTGCTGCATGGTTTCCCATCTCCACTTGTGAGACCTCGGGAGACCAGGCAGCAGCTCTCCTGGGAGCTTCTGTGTCCTTGTTTTTCATCCAGGCCCAGCACAGAGGTTGTAGCTCTGCCATGGAAGTGGAGCAGCCGGGTCTCGAACTGGCGCCCATATGGGATGCTGGCACTGCAGGCGGTGGTTTTACCCCCTACGCCACAGCGCTGGCCCCAATGAGTAATTTTTCGAAATGATTGTTTTCTTTCAATACCTCCTTTTTCCTGTCTATTTGACAGCAAAGCACAGTTATGGAGTACATGGTATGGTGCTGGTTGCTTTGAGGAATAAAGAAATGACAAAAGCCATGCCCTTCAGTAATGTGGAAAGCAGGGCTCTGTGGGGTGGAACATGCTCCAAGTGGGAGGGAGTGTATGAATAAAGATGTAATCAAGAAAAAGCAAGTATGCTTAGAATTACACACTGTCCAGGGTCTGGGAAGAAGGTGTGGCGATGAATGATTAAGATGGATTGAAGGAGGGCTTCCCCTTGCACCAGCTCGGTCATGAGGGCCTTGGACACTGTGCTGTAGTGAACGGAGCTGTAAATGTTCTAAGCTGGTGGAACATCATGTGATCAGATATGTGCTTTAGGAAGTTAATTGCTGATAATGTCAAGGGTGGATAGGTTAAGGGACAAATCAGAAGCAAAGTGCATTGGGATACTATTGGGGGAGGGTTGTAGAGGCCATGGTCTTTATAGGGAAGTCCTCACATTCCTAGTCTTCAGGGAACTTTACAAATGGTGTTCAGTGCTTTGATCTTATATTTGATCTTTTGTTATAAAGCTGGCAAAAAGACAACAGATGAGGAACTGGAGGAGATGTTAGAGAGTGGCAACCCAGCCATCTTCACCTCTGGGGTGAGTGCCTTGGGTATGGGGATGGCACACCCTTCTTGTGACGCGAGCCGCCTCTGTGGAGCTTCGCGCAGTCTAGCAGGTTAAGGGTGAGTGGCAGCTGCAGGCAGCCAGGGGAGGTGAGAGGCTCATCTGGAGTGTGTGTTGTGGGGGTGACTGATGGCCTGGGTGTGGCCTCTTGTAGATCATCGACTCCCAGATTTCCAAACAAGCACTCAGTGAGATCGAGGGTCGGCACAAGGACATCGTGAGGCTGGAGAGCAGCATCAAGGAGCTTCACGACATGTTTATGGACATCGCCATGCTGGTGGAGAATCAGGTAACCGCAGCGAGGCCCAGAGTTGGGAGGGCAGAGAGGAGAGTACAGGCTCCCGGGAGAACAGCGAGGAAGGGCATGCTGGAAGCTGGCTGAGGTGTGAGAGGAGACTCACTGGGGATTTGTGCAGTGGGGTAACAGAATTCCAGTATTCCAGGGAGACGGGGGAATTCTTATCAAATGCTGGCCTGCAGGGGCTCTCAGCCTTGTCTTTCTTGCCTGTTGCTTTGGCCTCAGTCATGTCTAGGCAGTACAGGGTTTAATGTGCTCTGCCAAGTACCTAGTTGCCCCAGACTTGGGATCCTTTTTTTTAAACTTTGAGATACGGGTTCTTAATAAAGATGCCTTAAAGCAGTCTCTTGATATGACCTGTTACACTGATGGCACTGAGAATCTGTGATCTTTTCTCCAGTTCACTGGTAACACCTAACAGGTTTTTTAAAAATATTTTTTACTTTTTTGGCTGGCGCCGCAGCTCAATAGGCTAATCCTCTGCCTGCGGCGCTGGCACACCGGGTTCTAGTTCTGGTCGGGGCGCCGGATTCTGTCCTGGTTGCCCCTCTTCCAGGCCAGCTCTCTGCTGTGGCCAGGGAGTGCAGTGGAGGATGGCCCAAGTGCTTGGGCCCTGCACCCCATGGGAGACCAGGAGAAGCACCTGGCTCCTGCCTTTGGATCAGCGCGGTGCGCCGGCCACAGCGTGCCGGCCGCGGCGACCATTGGAGGGTGAACCAATGGCAAAGGAAGACCTTTCTCTCTGTCTCTCTCTCTCACTGTCCACTCTGCCTGTCAAAAATATATATATATATATTTTTTATTTTTTTTATTTGAGAGGTAGAGTTACAGAAAGAGAGAAGGACAGACAGAAAGGTCTTCCATCCACTGGTTCACTCCCCAAGTGGCTGCAACCACTGGAGCTGGGTCGATCCGAAGGCAGGAGCCAACAGCTTTTTCCAGGTCTCCCATGTGGATGCAGGGGTCCACGCAGTTGGGTATCTTCTACTGCTTTTTCAGGCCATAGCAGAGAACTGGATCAGAAGAGGAGCATCTGGGACAGGAACTGGTGCCCATATGGGTTGCCAGTACCACAGGCAGAGTCTTAGCCTGCTATGCCACAGCACCGGCCCCACCTAACAGGTTTTATCTGTTTTCTGTTTTTATATTTTTCACTTATATGTGTTTCTCTAAGAATTTTGGCACTTTTTGCTAAGGAACAAGAACAGTCAACAACATAAGTGGAGGACTAATAAAATATTGACAGAAATATTTGAAACACTCCTGGTGCATAGTTCGACAGCTTGCTGTGTCCCAGGCATGCTTGCTCAGGGATGGAATTCTAATCGCCTGTGTATGGGGTTAGTTTCACACAGTCAGATGGCTTCCAGTGATTAGGTCACAGGGTCATAGTGCTGTGCCACGATCACTATTAACTTCAGCACTGTGCCTTCTGCATGGGATTGAGGACTCTCCTTAGCAAACAGGTTGTAAAAACCTAGTTGAAATCCACATATTGCTCTACTGGTTTGTAATCAGTACAGAGCCTGAGTGCCTTCCCCCATCCCCCTTAAGGCCTTTGAACCCACTCCTAAAGTCCCTTGGTCCCCACTCTTCTTTTTCCCCCCACACTGCCTTGCCGAGGAACTGGTATTGAGATTCAAGTGATGGTAAGTGCCTTGCTCTCTTTACAGACTGCCACAAAGCCATGGGGTTGGGTTGGGAAGGTGTGGGTAGGTGGGAGCAGTTTCTGTCCTAAGATGCTCAGGAATTAAGTGGAGGGACCAAACTTCCCTGTCAGGAAGTAACAGCTGGGAGTGGGTGGGCATCTTATTCTGAGACCACTGTCTGGAGGGGCAGATAAAACCCAGGAGTTTGGGTGAACCCAGTGACTACCACTTAAGGAGCCTGGGAATATCTCTTAGAGGAAGTAGTTCCCAACCTCATGTATTTATAGAGCACCTACTGCATGCCAGGTATTAGTTTTCAGTAGTAAACCAACTCAGTTCAGCCTGCATAGTTGATTTAGTTCCTGGTGACCAGAAGAGGCCAGCATGCCGATTATATCCTAAGAACATGAGATATTCTTATTTGAGCTCCTCTCCATGTGCTTAAGTTAAAAAAAAAAAAAAAAAAAGTGGGAGGGGTTCCCTGTGTGTGTGTGTGTGTGTGTGTACTTACCAAGCATCTATAGTATGTGCCTGGTGCCCTGCACGGTACTGGTCACAGAGAAGTAATTCAGTAAATGTTTCTTGGATGAATGACCACCTCCAAGGACTAGGAAGCCACAGATAATCACATGGGAAATTTGAAATGTTCCTGCAGGAGGCTGTGCCTCATGGTTTTTGCAATGCTCCTGTTAGCACTGAAGATTATAAGAGTACCCTTCCCCACATGAGGTAGGACTGTATTCTGGGTGGGTTTATTGAATGTGACTAATGTTCTTTGCAGGGTGAGATGTTAGATAACATAGAGCTCAATGTCATGCACACAGTGGACCATGTGGAGAAGGCACGAGATGAGACTAAAAAAGCTGTGAAATACCAGAGTCAGGCCCGGAAGGTGAGATACACCTGCTGCTTCCAGAGAAGAGAGTCCATTTGGTTTGCCGTCTCTTGCTGTTTCTCTTCCCTTTCGCTATCTCTGTTCCCACTGCTGCTTCTCGCATCCGGGGAAAGGGAGCCATGATTGACCGTATTGAGAACAACATGGACCAATCAGTGGGCTTTGTGGAGCGGGCCGTGGCAGATACCAAAAAGGCTGTCAAGTATCAGAGTGAAGCCCGGAGGGTGAGCCCTTTCCTCTCAGCCTGGTCTTGTTTCTCCTCTCTGTGGTCATTCCTACCTGTGTCCTTGAGCCCATATCCTCTCTCTCTGTCCTAGCCTTCTCCAACCCTCTACCTAGTCTTTCCTAGAGACTAGCTGCCTACTCTTCCTTCCTAGGTGTGCCTTGCATGGATCTGGCTCATGTGCACTTCGCCCGAGAACCCATACTTACTTGAAAGGCAGTTCTGTAGGATGGTTGCATGGCCCAAGTGTTGCTACTCATCTTCAGGATGTAGCTAATGGAGCTTTCAGATATTACACTAGACTCTTCATCAAACACCTTTATGTCATTGTTTTTCACTGCAGTAGCCCAAGCCCTCCCCCCACCTCTCTTTTTCTCCACCTTGTAACCCAGCACTGTGCTAATTGCTATGTAAACATTAGCTCATATTTATGGAGCACCTATTTTTTTCTGTCTTATAGATGGAACAGTTGAGGGTCAGAGGTTAAATAACTGAGGTCAAGGCTTCCAGTAAGTAGAGGGGCTGAGATTGTAAATCAGATCCCAGTCATGCTCTTTCTGTCACACTGTTGCATTTGCTCACCCTTCTTGGTGCCCCTGTTGCTGGAGGACTTTAAGCTTCTTTGCCAGTGGTCTCTGGGTATCCAGCTCTGGAGGCTTCTGCTTTTTAAATGGCTCTTCTTTGATCGTTTCTCTTGGGCTCTGCTGTTTTTGTTCTTCAGTTCTTTGTTTCTTTTCCAACTTTACTTATGGCTTATGCAGGGATTTAGGGAGCTGGAAAGTTGTTGTATATTAGGAATTTAGGCTGGATCATAACTTTCTGATATTCATTCAGTATACAGGATCTGAAAGACAGAAATATACTTAAGGAGACAGATGGACAGAAGCTGGAAATTAGGACTATATAAAAAATGTTTTTAACTTTTCCTTTTGAAAAGGGAAAGTCAGTCCCTTTATATTGGCTAGTTGCTGCTTAGAGGTGCCATAATAGTGGCTCTTACTGTATCGGTGGTATATGCAAATTACAGTGTGTGGAAGCTCCATATTTGTATCTGCTGGCATTGCTAGCCAGGAAGTCACTTAAGAAACGTAAAATGTCCTATAAGAATGTCTTTATGGAGAGATGTTAGGCTTATTTGGATCTAAAAGATGCTTTCTAGTAGAGTTGAGAGAGGTGATTTTTGGATGCGTTGTTTTTGAAAACTAATGATATGGTTTTGTTTGTCTTGTTCTTCTCTCCAGAAATTGATAATTATCATTGTGATAGTAGTTGTGTTGCTGGGCATTTTAGCATTGATTATTGGACTTTCTGTTGCACTGAAATAAGAGTGCCCCAAAAGGCTGCTGCAGTGAAATGTAAGTAAATGAATGATTCTCTCGGGGACTGTGGATTGCCTTTTTGAGGAAATTAGCCTCATATTTCAAATTCTGTTTCTTTCCACTTATGATTGTCTTTGGACATGCTAAACTTTTTCAAAATTTTCAGTATCTTGTAGATTCTTTCATCTCTTTAACAGGCTGTTCTTTTTATTTTTTTGAAAGATTTAATTGAAAAGCAGAGAGAGAGAGAATCTTTCATCTGCTGGTTCATTCCCTAAATGGCTGCAATGGCTGCGGCTCACTCAGGCTGAAGCTGGGACCCTGGAGCTCCATTGGAATCTCCCTTGTGGGTAACAGGGGCTCAAAGACTTGGGGCATCTTCCATCGCTTTCCCAGGAGCATTAACAGGGAGCTGAATTGGAATTGGAGCATCCAGCATGAACTGGCACCCAAAAAGGGATGCCAGTGTTGCAGATGGCATCTTAACCTGCTCTTCCACAGTGCTAAGCCCCAAAATTCTGTCTTGACTCTGGCTGCAGTACTGCCTCTGCTGTTTCTCCCTATTCTTTAAATCTATCCTGTCATGTCCTGTATTTCACCACCTCTCCTAGCATACCTGAGCACCCATTTTAAGTCCACTTACGCAGGAAGTATGGGTAGATAATTAGGTACAATCTATGTTTTGATGTGGTCTGTCTTTTGAATTCTTACTGGCTGTCATGGGTGTTGAGCTTTGCTTTCTGTATCCTTTTCAATGTAAATGAAGCTTTGAATAGGGATTTGGGAGTATAGTTTTGTTTATGGCTGGCTGGATCCTGAATGATATAATAGGGAACATTCTGAGTGCTGAGTTGTGCCAAACAATGTATTAAACACATTATATACATGCTATTGAATGCTTACAGCAGCCTTATGTGATAAGTAGTAGTATTATGCACTTTATGGATAAAGAAATTCAGTGTTAAAGAGAAGTAACAGGGACAAGTGCACACAGCTGACAGTAGACCTAGGAGGGTTTTTACTACATATTACCTTCTGTTTGTCAAACAAGGTAGCCATTTATCATTGTCTACAAAGTGTAGATGATCTTAGAGAATAGTGGCTTTAAAATTTAGGCTATTGATTATCTTTAAAAAAAATTTTTTTTTTTTTGACAGGCAGAGTGGACAGTGAGAGAGAGAGAGACAGGAGAGAAAGGTCTTCCTTTGCCGTTGGTTCACCCTCCAATGGCTGCCGCGGCCAACGCACCGCGCTGATCCAATGGCAGCAGCCAGGTACTTATCCTGGTCTCCCATGGGGTGCAGGGCCCAAGCACTTGGGCCATCCTCCACTGCACTCCCGGGCCACAGCAGAGAGCTGGCCTGGAAGAGGGGCAACCGGGACAGAATCCAGCGCCCCAACCGGGACTAGAACCCAGTGTGCCAGCGCCGCTAGGTGGAGGATTAGCTTATTGAGCCACGGCACCGGCCATAAATTTTTTTTTAAAAAAAAGGATAGGTCTATGGCCGGTGCCGCGGCTCACTAGGCTAATCCTCCACCTAGCGGGGCCGGCACACGAGGTTCTAGTCCCAGTCGGGGCACCGGATTCTGTCCCGGTTGCCCCTCTTCCAGGCAGGCTCTCTGCTGTGGCCAGGGAGTGCAGTGGAGGATGGCCCAAGTGCTTGGGCCTTGCACCCCAATGGGAGACCAGGAGAAGCACCTGGCTCCTGGCTTCGGATCAGCGCGGTGCACTGGCCACAGCGTGCCGGCCGTGGCGGCCATTGGAGGCTGAACCAACGGCAAAAAGGAAGACCTTTCTCTCTGTCTCTCTCTCTCTCACTATCTACTCTGCCTGTAAAAAAAAAAAAAAAAAAAAAAAAAAAGGATAGGTCTGCTGAATCAAGTTCAACAGCAGTTAGTACGACAAGAGTGACTTTTGTAATTTTTGAAAATACTTTTATTGTAATAAGCATGTATTATTAAAAAACCTGTAATATACAGCAAGAATGAAAATTAACTATTTTAAAAGATTTATTTATTTATTTGAAAGTCAGAATTACACAGAAAGAGAAGGAGAGGCAGAGAGAGAGAGAGATAGAGAGATAGAGAGATAGGTCTTCCATCCTCTGGTGCACTCCCCAACTGGCTGCAACGGCCAGAGCTGCGCTGATCCAAAGCCAGGAGCCAGGAGCTTCTTCCGGGTCTCCCACCTGGGTGCAGGGGCCCAAGGACTTGGGCCATCTTCTACTGCTTTCCCAGGCAATAGCAGAGAGCTGGAGCGGAAGTGGAGCAGCCATGACAAGAACCAGTGTCCATGTTGGATGCTGGCACTGCAGGCGGCGGTTTTACCTGCTACACCACAGCACCAGCCCCTGAAAATTAACTTTTCCTATTATTGCTGATAACCCTGTGACATGTTATATACTCATAGTTTTACATGGTACAAACTATATTTGTGATTTTTGTATCCAGGTATAAAATCATAAACATCAGCCTATGTCATTAAACTCTTTGTAAAAGTAATTTTCACTTTTTTAAAGGTTGTTTATTTATTTGAAAGGCAGTTCTAAGGGTGGGGATGGAGAGAGTGAGTGAGCTACCAACTGCTGGTTCACTCCTCAGATGGCCGCAATGGTCACATCTGGACCAGGCCAAAGCCAGGAACTCCATCCAAGTCTGCCACATGAGTGGCAGGTGTCTAAGTACTTGGGCCATCTTTTACTGCTTTTCTTTCTTTTTAAAAAATTTTTTATTTGATAGGATGAACAAATTTCATATATACAGATTTAAAGGCATAATGGTACTCTCCACCCTCCCCTCCCCCTCCTTCATTTTTTTATTTTAATTTTTACAGTGACTTTCAGTTTATTTTATAATCACAAGGTTAACCCTCTATTAAATAATGAATTAAACAAGTAATAAGTACAAAAACCACTGTTCCTAAAGAGTATAGACAACTGCTCTTCCCGTGCATATTAGCAGGGAGCTGGATTGGAAGTGAAGCATCCAGAACTCGAACCTGTGCTCCGATATGGGATGCCAGTGTCACAGTTGGTGGCTTAACCTGTTGTGCCACAATGCTGGCCCCATGTAAAACTAATTTTCAACATGAGACTGTGGATATACTCCCAAGTTTTTAATAGTTCCCTATTGTTGAAGGTTTCTGTTTTTATTTTGCTCTGTGTCTAACCTTACATATTTTTCCATGTTAATTTTCTTGTCATTATAAGAGAAACTAGAAGTTGGATTACTGAGGTAAAAGATACACATATTTTAAAGATCTGATTTATACTACCATGTGGATATCCAGAGCTGACCCTTCATTTAATTTGATTTAGTGTTTCTTCTTCCTTCCACATGACAGAGGGTCTGAAAATCAGGATATTTTAGCATTAAGCATTCAGCTTAATCTTGAGAGATAAGCAGCAATGAGGTGACCCTTTTAGGCAGTTAATTAGTTCCCTTTTTTTTTTCTGGCATTTGGATTTTTGTTTGTAAAATTTCAGTCTTGTTCTGACACAGGATATTAACATTTTAAAAAGGTATAGTAAGTTATCTTTCCATACTCTCGGGTGAAAGACATCTTGGAAATTCATGGTGTCCTTTACCATTCCTAGTTTCAAGAATTCAGGGTGTAAATTAATGATTCCTGAGTGACTAAGATGCTCATCATGATATATTACATATCCCTAATAAAGTCAAGACTGTTTGTCACCTAGGCCCAGACAACCCTCTTTCTCTGTTTCCATCTGTTCTCCACCTTAGGGAGAGAGCGGTCTCTGAACAGGAGGAAGGCAGGCAGCCAGTGTTTACGCTCCTCAGTTGTGTGTAGCTACAGTTTTAGGATAGTATTATTATCCCCACTTAAAAAATTATTGTTTTTTAAAATTTATTTTTAAAATTTAATTTTTTAAAATTTATTTGAAAGAGAGAAAGAGAGGGAAGGAGGGAGAGAAAGATTGATTGAGAGATCTTGAAATCTTCCATCTGCTAGTTCACTCATCAAATGGCCACAACGGCCAGAGATGGTCTGGTTCAAAGCCAGGAGCCAGGAGCTTCCTCTGGTCTCCTTTGTGGGTGCAGGGGCCCACAGACTTGGGCCATCTTCTGCTGCCTTCCTGAGAGCATTAGCAGGGAGCCGGATTGGAAGTGGAGCAGCTGGGACTTGAACCAGCGCCCATATGGGATGCCAGTGCTGCAGGAGGCGATTTTACCTGCTATACCACAACACTGGCCCCTAAAAAATTATTAATAATTGTACATACTGATGGGTCACAGTGTGACACTTCGATACATGGAACTGGAAGACATTATGTTAAGTAAAATAAACTAGGCACAAAGACAAAAACCACACATTCTCTCTCACATCTGGAAGCTAAAATTCCTTAATCATTATCTTCAGTTTACAGACTAGGAAGCTCTCTGAATCTCTGAGGTTAAGAAATTTGCCAAGCCTATATGCCTTCTAAGTTGGGGCGGCTGCAGTATTCTTTCGTGTCCTTCTGCCTTCTAAAAGGAGGAGTTCTGGGCGCTCATGGAAGAGACTCGAGTACCAGAAAGCTTCTGAAGCCGCAGAAGACAGGCACTTCCGACCAGTGATTGTGCCTCCCTGAAAGTCCTCGCAGGCGAGTGTGACAGCCTGACAGCCTGTGGGAAGGCTTATAAACGGTCTAGAGATTTTTCTTTCTTTTTTTTTTTAACTTCATAATAGGGCTTTTTGTTCTTTGTGCAGTGGAATATTTAGTTACAGCTCCTGTCTTGGGTTTGTTGGATTTTTCAGGTTGTACTGCCTTTTCCATTGTTCTCTATTTGCAGCTATTTCTGATCTTTCCTCTCCACCTCCTGGGCTTGAGGCTGATTCCTCCTGTTGCCCTTCATCATCATCCTGTACACCCGTCAGCAGCTCCTTTCCCCGCCTCTCTTAGAACCTGATTTCATTCCAGCCTGGCGTGGCCACCCTTGTCTGCAGATGGGAACGGAGTTTGAATGGCCTTCCTGAGAGTGCGTGGGACCTGTTCCTTTGTTTCCTTGTAAACCATCCTTGGACCTGACTCAGCAAACAGTCTACCCTGGAGGAATCTAACCTACCCGAAGCAACCCTGAGTTCTCAGAACCACCTGCTGCCCCACCAGCTCTGATGTACCATTCTCCTGGACCATATGAACCAGTGGGCTTCTTTTTCCTCCTGGGGTGTGCCAAATTATGCCTTGCACCTTGGAGAGCCCACGTGAGACCCTCCCAAAGGAGCTGTATGTTCTACCTCATGGGGTATTCTCCTAGCAACTTCAATGTACTTTTTAGGAGAGTATCTTCAACAAAGCAGAGGGATTCTTAGTTTGGCAACAATAAGGCTTGGATCTGAGTCTTCTACCTGATGCCAATGCTCAGTTTGTTGTCCCCATGTTCTAAAAACACACAGACTGGCAGATGCCATTTTGGTCTGAGAGGCTGACTTGTTTGAAATTCTTAATTCCATATGTTCAGCTTGGGGCCAGCTTGACTCTTTATCTGTGTCGTATTCTCTCATGTTTACTAAGGAGGGGCCAGGATGATGCGGTCATCTGAGGCCGTCATTTGCAAAGGCTGAGAGTACTGCATATCTGTTTCCATGTCTGAGGCTTGGAAACTTTGCTATTAGACAGTGATGCTTTGTGAAGCCATTGCTTTGAGGTCAGAAATAACCAGGGATGTCAAACTGGGCCAGGGACAAGGTGCTAGAGTCTCAGACTCCAGAAATATTAGAGACAGTTTGAGTATTTGGTCACACATGTGTTCCAGATATATATATTTATAACTGTGTGTGTGAGATGTATGTACATGTATGTGTGTGTGTCTCAGGAAGTAAGAAACTAGAAGTGAAAGATATGACCTCAAAAAGAAAAAGTTAGGCTAAAAATTGCAGACACTTGCCTACTTGCAAATGAATCACTGTAGGAATATGATCTTCCCATGTCACCAAGAAACTTGTTTTCTAGTTGAGGAATGGGAGGATCAAATGATCAAATGAGATTTTTGGAGTGAAGATCTATCTAGTTGATCCCTACTCAGTTTTTCTGCATAGCAGAGAAGTGTAGTGTTTTGACATCTTCCCTATCTGCTGCCTATGATAGGCTCATCCCAAGAATATCCCACAGCAATTTGATGTTATCACATGACCTATGGGATATTGTGTCTCCAGGACTGAGTCAGCTGGGAGAGACCAGCGACTACAGAGTAGATCTTCCTGTTGGGTTAATGAACTAGACCGCTTGTGTCCCCTAATTTTTATTATGCAGGAAGCAACACTAGGATATCTTCCAGTGTCTGTGTTAACTCAGTGGCAGGTGCCTCAGATTCCCTGCTGGTCTTGGCCAGTCTCCCTGATTTGGGGTACCGGCTATATTTCAGCTTTGACATTAAAGCTTTCCAGGGTAGGGTGAGCAGCACCCTAATCCAGGGGCTGCTCATTAGCTTGCTTCGCAAAGGCTACTCACTCCGAGTCATCACCTAGCAATCAGACAGAACCAACGGATTGCCCCTTGCCCGTGGTTATGATGTCAACTAGTGGACTGACTCCAGCAACAGGGGAACAAACTTTACGCACAGGCCTTTACTGACCACTGAGAGTGAGAGTGAGGCCTCGGGCTCACAGACTGGGATACAGCATGTGAAGGCTTTTTTTTTTTTGGTTTATAATTTTTAAAAATGTAAATGATTATTTTATTGCTAACTTAAAAATAAATGACTTTGTATTGATTGTGAAATAGTCTGGCTCTACCTTCCTGCAAGACAAGGTGACTTGGTGCCACCATGTGGTAGATTTTTGTCCAGGTTTTGGAATGGGGCTAAAATCTTTTTATTCAATCACACTGGTTCAAAAGATCAGATTTTTGTAAAAGATTTAACTCCCAAAGCATGTGATGTAACTGTACCTGAGTTTCAGATTTAAAGTGCTGCCTCCAGAAGAATTGCGTTCTTTACTGAGAGCATCTGGCTTTAGGGGAAATGGGGGAGATCTCTCCTATATCATCGGAAAGGCAGAACCACCTTACACTAAACATCCTCTGAGAGTCCTATTGATCGAAGCTTGGATGTTTCACCAGGAATAACTTTCCTGTTAACATTCTGGGTTCAAGAAGCCAGATCCATCACCTCCCTCCTCCTGGTACTCCCTTTCCCTTCATACCCTAGTCCATATCCCGGTGAACTTGGCTCCCTTCCCAGAACTCAGTGCTTACACAGGAATGGTTCTCACGTGCTTTTTCTTTCCTTGTCTGGATGAGCAGAAGAAGATCATGATCATGATCTGCTGTATTATCCTTGCGATCATCTTAGCTTCTACCATTGGGGGCATATTTGCCTGAACAAGGTGAGCCATCTGGAGGGAGGGTCAGGCCTGCCGTTCCTTGAACTCTTGTGTCTGGGAGCATGCATTTTTTTGTCACCAGGTGGTAGGATTGACACAGATCAGGACCTTAGAAAACTAAAAAAAAGGTGTACATCTCATAGAAAAATGAGTGAAGAATGAGTTGGTAGCAGGTAGTGGGATGTGGGGGGAGGAGTAAAGGAGACGGAAGGCAGAAGTCTGACCCACAGAGTGCTTCGCATAAATTAAGGATGTTGATTCCTGTGGCAAAATTTGAGCCTTGGTGTTGGGAATGGTGAAAGGAGTCAGTTTTTGTATTAGATGTACCTGAGCTCTGGAAGAGGGCCACACATAAACCTAAATTCAGAAAATTTTTTCCCTCCCAAGGTTAGGACAAGTTAATGCAGCCTTGTGCGTAGTCCCTTATGCCTGGTGGGAGAGAAACTTGGTGATCCTGACCATGAACATTGTGTTATATAATCTATGATTTTCTTCCTCCATTCTTATCTCCTTCAGCCCTCACAGCTGGACCCTTGGCTGGCCATTTCTAATCCCTCCACCTTGGTGGTGCCATGACTTCTCCACCGCAGACTCCTCACCCACTACTCCTCCTTCCATTACGAGACTTCTTGTGACACAGGGCACCACTCAACTACTTATTAAAAGTTGTGCAAAAGGAGAACATGAAAACTGGAATTGGGTGGGGGGGAAGGGTTGAAGGAACAGGGAGCATAGCAACATACAGCTGTTAGGCAGATAAAGGGACTGCAGGGTAGAGAGCAAAGCATAATGGGTACTTGTTTGTAAAAGGAATTTACAGCCTGCATCACCATCTGGCGGAGAAGAGGAAGCTACTGTAGCACACCATGTTCAATAGGCTCTTATTTGAACTGCTGTGAGTTGTTTGAGAAGATTGGGGTGTTTCTTATTTCTGCTCTTGAGGTTCTTTGACCAGTCCACACGCTTCCCTCTCCCAGACCCAACAGTAGTCTTAAATGCAAAGGTAATCTAAGGATGGGCACTGCACCTGTATTGCCCACTGCTTAGCACAGTGCCTGCCACTCAGAGGTGCTCAAATGTCTGATTTAATTACCTGTAAGTAAGCTCTGGTTTCACTCATGGACAAGTCCTTTAAGGCATCAGTGTGCATACAGTTTGCTACTGCCAGAGGCTGTGTGAAGCTGCCTGGGAACGGGCTGAGCCATTCATGCAAACGTGCTACAACAGGCTCCCCCTTTTCCACAGCGTACAATGTAAGATGGTTTTTTCTATGTGTGGTGATGGAGGGGTTCTATTAACAGCTGCTCACCCTGTAGAGAGGGCCAGCCCCAGAACTGCATTCAGTAACTAAATACAGACACCACTCGGAAGAAACTGCTTTATACTACACCATGATTGAACTCCCAACAGCCATCACACACTGTGAACCACAACAAAGGAGAGGTGCAGATGTCACGTGAGAAAGGTGAAATGCAGCCATCACTTACTTCACTTCTCACCTGATTTGAAACTGTTGGCCAGTGATGTATGTGCAAGAAACTGTTCCAAACACTGTCCCAATTCAAGGTTCAACTGTATTCAGCTTTAAACCAGCTCTGTGAATACAACTTTGAACATAAATTATTTAGTAATTAAATGAGGGTCACTAAAAATACATTAAAAATTATAATATAGAATTCTTGAGGACCACCCAAATTTTTAGATAAATGTTTTTCAAAGTAAATTAAATTCTTATTTTCTTTGCTGGAGATCTCTTTTTTAAGTAGGATTAGATAATTACTTATTTCCTCAGTGTGCCATTTCCTACCTACTTTGAAAAGAAACTGGTTTAATATTTCTGTCAGTTTGTGTTTCCTTTAGTTTGAATAGGGTACAGAAGACTGCTGCTGGCTGCATCTGAAAAAGATTAATCTTGTTCAACACAGGGAGCTGGAACCATGGGGGTTTGAATCACAGGGCATCCCCATTTATCCAGAAGTAAGCAACTGTGTGTTGCATGGCACTGTTCTAGATCTTGCAGGGGCACAAAGATAGAGCCAAACACTTTCCCTCGTGGAGAATTTCAGACCTAACAAGCACCACACAGTTTCAACTTTTGTTATCAGTTCCCCTTGCTAAAAGGTGTGATCCTTGTCATATTGTCAATATCCCTCTTTCCAAGCCTGAGAGAAGATGGGTACCTTGGCATCAATAAATACCTGTTCAATCAGTTCACTGATGTACTGTCATTTTTTTGTTACTCCAAAAAGCTTTATATTTGTAACTAGGAAAATGTCAAAGAACCCGGCTCTTCCTGAAGCATGTACACATAAAAGGCAGCACAGATGCTAAGCATTGCATCAGAGCTGTGGGATGCAAGCATTTGCTGGAGTCCTGATGACACTCCTCTTACAATTCAGGAGACCTAAGAGCTCTTTAGTTTGAATAGGGGAGAGAAGACCACTGCTGGCTAGCTGTGAAAAAGATTAATCTTGTTAAAGGCAAAGAGGGAGCGGAGATGGAACCAGTCAGCCAGACCTGTATCTTAATCTCTTAAGGGATTAAGAGATTCCAGTGAGAATTGAGGTGATGCTCAAACTTTATTTAATATAAAGTACTTTAAGTTTTTCAGAAATCATCTGTTTACATGCCACTACTTAGTTATGACAGAAGAGCTACCCAAAGACTTTAAGGGAAGGCCGAGGGGAATAAAAATATAGCTTCTTTCTCTCAGTAGCCTATGTACATTTATTCTTGGTCTTATTACACACGATCAGGCAGATAGAACTTGCCCCAGTAGCGTCCTTTCTGGGTTAAGTCATAAGGGCTCAGGTATTTGCGTATCCCCAGCATGTTGGCAGTGGCTATGCGTTCAAAGGTCCAAGGGTTTTGATTGTTTTGTTCTCTTTCCTCTTGGTCTTTCCGCATCTTCTCTAGGGTCTCACGGCTCACTGCCTTCGCCGGGAAGGGCAACTTGTGTGCAACCTGGTTCAGGAAACCTTCTACTTCTTTGAATTCACATCGTCCACCCATCTCTACCACAAGGCGGCCAGCCTTCACAGGGGTCACATAGTGATCAATGGCACCTTTGCCACCCCCCATGCGCTGCCCAATACCCTTGCGGGTGATGGGCTTGAAAGGGGCTGGTACCCGCCAGATGGCAAACATGTTCTTGGGGTCCATAGAGCGGTTGATTGTCAGGCGCATCATTTCAAAATGTCCCCAGTGGAGGTAACCTCCACCCAGTGCCTAAAAACGAATGGCAGAATTAGAAACACAAGGGGACTTAGATATCTGATAGCCTCCATTATTATGTCTTCTTTTATAAGCATGGATTCAGTGATAGAAACGAAAGTTAAAATATGCACTAAGTGCCATGGAATCCAAATCTTGGGTATAGTATAGTAAAGGAGAAAAGGCAAAGTGAATCATACACAGGGAGAGAGGGAGAGAGAGACAGACATCAGTCTCTTCCATCTGCAGGTTCATTCCCCAGAAGGCTACAACTGCCAGGGCTAGGCCAAGTTGAAGCCAGGATCCAGGAACTCCATCCAGGTCTCCCATGTGGGTGGCTGGTTCCCAAGTGCTTGGGCCATCAACAGCTGCCTCCCAGATGCATTAGCAGGAAGCTGGATCAGAGGTAGAGTAGCTAGAACTCAAATCAGCACTCTTATATAGGGTGTGGGCATCCTAAGCAGTAGCTTAACCACAAGGCCCACTCCAGGAGGTGACATTTAAAGTTGAGGCCAGAATGAAAATAGCTGAAGGAAGACAGGAGTGCTGCAGTCAGAGGAATGACTCATGTGAAGGACCTAACCCTGCAAGGGGCGAGTTCAGGTGGAAGCCAGTGTGTCTGGAGTGGAGTGAGGAAGGGGGAGAGTGGACACTCAGGTTCTCTGGCTGCCAGATGAAAAATAAATCCTGGTGCACGCCCATGTTGTAGGTACTGACATAAGTAAGAACTACTCAGCAAGGAAAGAAACACCTCTCCCGCATCCTACGTCACAGTTCTATTTTTACCAGAGGCTTGAAAAGATCTTACGGTCTGGTTATGGGGCAAATTAGGGAGCCATTTCTTTCTCCCACCTTTACATTATTCTCATTTTATATTAAAAAAATTATAACTCAGATGTGTTCTTGGTACCCAGTAGCCTCTACACATATTCAAGAGCAACTGGTGGCAGTTCTCGTAAAATCTGTGGTGGAAGAGATTAGAGAGTAAAGAGTACGTGAGATGTTACTAACTTCCCTCCTATAGTTGGTTGATGCTGAACTCACTCACCAAGATTGCAAAATTGCCTTCTGTGAATTCAGTAGCTTCAGTGGAAGGTCCGCGTATGTCATTCAAGTTTTTAGGTTCTCTTCTGACTTTTGGCACAAGTGGTACCCTTTCAACAAATCTTAGTTTGGGCTTTTCAGGAATGGAAACATCTGAAAGCACACACAACCAAGATTAAGTAAAGCTACGTATCTTACAGGATCCTCTATTTTTCCTAGTCAGATTTAAAACAATTACGTCAGAATCTAAAGGTTACCACTGAACAGTAATTTCAAAGGTATATCATTACCTTCTTGTGGATGCTTTTAGAGTTTCCTTTTTTAAACTTAACTTTTCAAAATTTCACACACATAAAAGGGCCAAATTAAAAAATACACAGCTAAGAGAATTACCAGGTATGTTAATACATGAACACACACACACACACCCCTATCACCCAGGTAAAGAACAACATTAGGTAGTGTTTTTAATCTCAATTTGATAGAAGAGGAACTTGAGGCCTAGTGAAACTTTTTAATTTGGTCTAGGCCAGCTAGTTAAAACAGCTAAGTCGGGAAGCATGACTCTTTAAAACGTATAAGCAGAGCTGCAGTTCCTACAGTGTACAACCGTGTGCTGGCTGTGGCCAGGTGAACACAACAGTAGGCCAGACATGTGACAGCCATCATCTTACTCAAATTTGGGGAAAAAACCCCTTATAATTCATCTAATCTTTTTCTGTAGTCATCAAGCATGGAGGCTTGTATCACACAGACTTAAGGGCACTGGCACGTTATTACTATTCAGAGTTAGAGAAACTGCCACTCCCTCCCACCATATGTGCAACTACAGAGCAATTCAGCAATGTTTTCTCTTGCTCCAAGTCAGTATTTCGAGAGAACACAGTGGTTTAATAATTATTTGTAGAAGGTAAGACCCTCATATGTCCAGGCCTCTGTGATTTTATTTTTTTTTGAAATTCCTAGTACACTGGGAAAAACAAAAAGTTGATTTACAGGACTGTGTCTTACCTCAGTGTTTACGTTTAACAAACTGGTGCTTGTCATGTGATAGTATTAAGTGACTGCATATATGGAACCACAGTTGAGGCCAGTTGGCCCTGGCTGAGTGGCCCACGCCGGAGGAGGGTGCAGAGGAGCTAGCGCGTTAGACATTTGCTGCTTAAGTACAGGAGCATTTGGGGCTTTCATCCTTCAGCTCATCTCTGGTGCCTGGCACACGCTTGGCAATACAAATGCCTCACCTACTCAGTGAGGGAGCACAGGAAACACCAGACCTCTCTCTCCTGGGTTCCCTCCCGTCAAAGACTGACTCACAGGAAACGACGGACAAGCGCTCACCTCCTAACGATGGCACCGGAAGCAGCGTCTTCAGGCCAGCACTGGCAGGTGGGGCTGCCCAAGAATCTAAAATGATACAATAAATGTACAACGTTGGCCAAAGGTACTTAACTCCCGACGGGGGTGTACGGATGCATGGGACGCGAGTTCCATTACATGGGCTCAAAGAAGCCGGATGGGGTCTCTGGGGACCGGTTCCCAGACTCGGCTGTGCCCTTGCTGCGCAAACCCCCAGGGTGGAGGCGGCGGCGGGAAAGCGGAGCCCCTAACCAGCGCTTCACCAAGTACATGCAGAGCATGGGAGACAGCAGGGGAGAGTGGGGGAGGACACGGGACCCGCCTTCTTTCGGGTCAGCAGGGACTTCTGACCTGACAAGGGCACCCGCAGGAGCGGCGCACTGGCGCGGGCCAGCAGCCTCCACATGGTCACACGCGACCGGCCGCCACCCCGCTACTTGGCTGTGCTCGACCACCACGCTGCAGTCGGATCAGGACACAGCTGCGCCGGGCCGGAAGTTGTGTTCACACCGGTCCACTCCGCAGAGAATTCCGACGGAAGCGGAAAACATCCGAGGCTCGCAGTTTGGGTTCCGGGGCTGACGTCTGCTAGTCAACAAAGCACGGGCGCTCCTGGAGGTTGTCAGCCGTATCCAATACCTTTCCCCAAAGCAGGGAAGCAGGGCGGGGAGTTTCCTCCGTCCCGCCGTTAGCGCAAGCTGATATTTGACGTTCCGGGCAAATGCATTATAGTCCTTTTCTGGGGGCCTCTCAGATTTGCAAAATGTCTCTGACTTGTGAACGTTTACTGAGCACTTGCCGTATATCAGACATTGAATACCCCATTGTAGCCCTCTGAACAAATCCCTCTTGAACGTTAAGTCATTTTAGGTTATCTTTTGCAGATTCCATCCTGAGGGTCAGAGGATCGCCTTTCTCAGTGTCACAGAATAGCAAAGCAGTACAGTCAGAATTTGGGCACATACTCTCATACTCCAGTGAATGGACAATAGCGTAAGTTGCTATTAAGCTGAAATGATGTATAATTATTCTGGTAGAATATTGAAAAAGCCATTTTTATGAGCCTCAAGCTTCTTATAATTGTGATCCTCCCAAGCTTCTGGAACTCAAATGGGATTAGTAAATTGAGGCTAATGTCTGTTGTAGTTAAATTATACCAAATCTCTATGAATTTCCCCCACGATTAACTTCACAAACAGCAACAAATGAAACCTGTAATGCTTACAAAGCTGCCTGGAGAACTCTGATCACAATTGTATGCACTGTTTAATTTGCACACTGAATCTACTTCAAAAGGATGACTGGACTTTATTATAGCCAATCGTTTGTGCCCCAAGAGGAGTTCTTAAAAGGCCAAATGATAAATCTCCACACCCCTGGCCTTCCTCCACAGCTAGTCTAAGATTCCAGGCACCTCCTATATTATCCTCTAAATGTGCTCAGGCATCTAGAAATGTTTTGGGTGAAAAACAGAGTGGTAGCAAAATCAGTCTTTGGTTTCTGAGTCTTTTGGTGCCCTAAAGTTTCCACTTCATTGTTTATTTTTATTTCTTTAAAAATATTTACTTATTTGAAAGGCAGAATGACACAGAGA